GATACACACAATGATCCCACCCAGACCTGAACCAACAACCAATGTGTACTCCATCCGACCAAAGAGGCTCTCCAAGGCGGGCGAAAAAAAATTTTTTCCCCCCAAAGGAACGGGCCTAAAATCCCCTCCCCCCCCCCCCCCCCCAGTGCTGTTGGGGGATACGTACATCTGCACGTTCCCATCGGGGGAAAAAAATAATCATCGAACGCAATGAAGAACCTATGAAAAACTCCGCACCTGGACTGTCGCCCCGCTTCTGTGTACAGCAGTATTTTAGGATGGGTTGGTGTCGCCTAGGGGGGGGGGAGCTCGGTGTAGATGGATGTGTTGGTAAGGCTGAACACACGGCGTCGATAAGAGAATTCCCTGCCGCCTCGTACGTGCCCACTAATTTCCTGCTGCGATGCTGTTGATTCGTTGTTTTCGTTTTTTAGATGGCGTGTGGTTGGTTGTTGACGTTTCTTACTGCCTGTTGTCGTTGGTGACGGGTGTTGATGCTACTTCTTTTTCTTCTGCTGCTGCTGCTGCTGCTGCTGCTGCTGCTGCTGCTGCTGCTGTTGTTGTTGCCGTTTTGGTCGTGCGAAAAGGTCGAGCTGACGGAGAGGCTCAGGCTTGACGACGTCGGCCCGAATCCCCCCAACAAGTTCCCGTGGGCCATGTACACCCCCGACGGGCAGCGGCGCATCTCGTCGCTGGAGGACGCCATCGCCAGCAGACTCGTCTTCATCTTCAAAGGTAAGCGGGATGAAAAAGAGTCAGGAGGGCGGGGGGTGAGGAGCCTGCGGTTGAAACCGAGCTGCTGATGGGACGGGTTATGGTGTCATGGAATCGTTTTACCCTCGTGCCGTTCCTCCCTTTTCACCTCATGGTTCTCAGCCTTGGGTTTCCCGGAGGACACCCGGCGGTTTCTGGTTGGCGACACGGCATGTCTCCCAAGCTGAACGGGCGTGTGCTGTATGTACTCCTGGCGCACATGTTCGACTGACAAGGAGGCCAACGTTTTTTTGTTGTTATTGTTAGACCCTCTTTTCAAGGAAACGCGTCGTGCTTGCATACGTCCTACGCGGTACGTCTTACACACGCTGGGGACCGTTTCTTGATGTTGTTGTCTTTGGGTGGGTGGTGTGCACTCGTGGAGACGTTTCCGGGTGCCCGCAAAGCATATGCTTGGGTTCATCTCTCATGTTTTAAGACTCACACCCTGTCCTCCCACCCTTCCGGCCCGTCTAACACTCGGCAGGGGGGAACTTCATCTGGCCGGGGGTGGAGGTGGGACACGTCCAGACAGTGCACGGCCTTGAGACGTTGGGCTCGATCGACATGAAGACGCTGTCGATGGAGCCGCTCGTGTGAGTGACCACGCCCGCACTCGCTGGTAGATGGTCTAGGTTAGCGTTGGGAGATGAAGAGTTGGTGGGTCTAGTAGTCGTCGTCCGTGGCGCGGCAGGTAAGAAACTGTTTCGACTTGTTTGTTGACTCGGTTGCTGTTTGCCTTACGTCTTTTTGTGTTCTGTTTACGCAGTAGGAGTAGGATGGGTCCGGCGCTTGATTGTTGCCGCGCTGCTGTACTCTTTGTATGCTGCACCAGATGCCTTGGCCTTGTATGCATATCTGGCCTACGCAGAGCCTGAGAACAACACCTGCAGACGCAGCAAACAGGGGGGGAACGAGATACGTGGATCGAATTGCTTGGTCGGCGCGATAATTTTACATGCTATGTGTACAGCAGTGCTACGCACCCTGCAGCCGTGGAGGCTCCACGATCTGCGATTTGTGCGATGTTTGCGATGTCAACCCCTTCTCTGTCGCTATCGCTGCTGCTGCTGCTGCCGCTTCTTCTGCGGCTACCCCCCCGCAGATTCGAGGCAAGAAACTTCCTCCTCGACGAGGAATGCAAGCACATCAGGGAAAAAGCCGACCCGCACATGAAACCCTCGCCGGTTTCGCTCATGGACCACGATAAGGGCAAGCCGGACACCAACTGGAGAACAAGGTAAGGGCGCCTGCTTTTCCTCCTTTGCTGTCTACAGCAGTACCGCGTCTAGCTCGCTTGGTTTGTTATGGTTCTTCGGCCTCTGAGAAGATAACGGTTCGCACGTACGTTCGTACGCTACGTGCCGCTGGGGTGCGTCGAGAGCAATCGTACCCATGGGTAGGTCTCGCGTGCTCCTTCATGGACGAGAAATATCGTTTGCACTTTTGGTCTATGGGCCGGGAACCTCGAGCGCCCCGTCCACGTGAGAAAAACGCACCATCTGGGCAACCACTGTTCTTTGCCTTTTCACCCACCCCCACCCCGCTCGAATACCTCACGGCGCTTCGCGCTTGGTGGAGTGAGAGCCTGGTCCGGTGAGAACCCGGCGTGCTCCGTCCCGGCTTTGTAGGGGTGCGAGGTCAATGGCCTAACGACTACGGCATGCACGACTGTGAGTACACCCCCCACCCCGCTCGATCCCGGCCTGCAACAATACCTGAACACCGCCTTGCTGTGCGATGAGGCGCGGCCCGAAAGCAACTGCTGATTTGTTTCGTGTGTGTTTTCCCTTCTCCGCTTCTTGGTTGCTGCTGCCCTGTCCTGAGTACCTTGCCGCTGCTCTCTGCTTGCTCTGCCTGTGTCTGTTTTTGGCAGCACCACCTACTTCATGCCCTCCACGAGGGACCCCCTCCTGCAGGGCATCGACAGAAGGGTGGAGGAGTTCACACGCGTCCCCAAGTCCCACCAGGAACAGGTGCAGGTGCTTAAGTACGACAAGGGGCAGCGGTACACGGCGCACCACGACTTCTTGTGAGTTGATCAAACAAGACTTTCGACCTGCCTATTACAGTTTTCATTTTCATGGTTGAAGGCGTCATGTCACGCCGTGGGACTATTTACATATGTACACGAAGAGTACAGGGGGAGAGCCCAGCAGGGAGAAAGAGAGAAAAGCCTTTTGTTTGTGTTTTCTGAGCACGATTTTAACGGTATTTTTTTGTGTGTGGAGACACGCAAGCGCTTGGCCAGAGAGGCTGACGGGGCAAGCCTTTTATCTTAGTGGCAAGCTCTTTTGGTTTATGTATGTACCGTGTCGGGCAGGGGAGTACATGGGATCAATATTCGGAAAGGTTGTTGTTTCATCCCAATCTCCATCCACGGCAGCTCAAATTTCCCTCTCCCTCTCCATCTTCTTTTATTTGTCCTGCTTTCCTTGGGGACGGACCTTGCGTCTCCTTCCTTGCCCACCGTGCGGCGGCGGCGGTGGCGACTGGCTATTCGCGTATGGGCCACAGCAACCCCAAGATGTACCAAAAGTGAGAAGAGTCATGAAAGCAAGAAAGTATGCCCAAATGTTGGGCAACGGCAGAGAGGGGTGGGGGTGGTATCGACACTCTTTTGGGGAGCATTGGCGGCGCTTTTGTCCTCCTTTGGGAGGGGAGGGATACTCATGGCCGTGCATGCCGTAGCCGTTAGACCGTTGACCTCGGGGGATAATATTTTGTTGTGTGAACGTTGACGAGTTGACCACGCATTCGTTTGGAGGCGGAGCGTCTTCCCTACTCCTTAAAAGGGTCACTACCAGTTTTCGGGCGCTGTATACATTTGAGGGAGGGAAGGGGCGGCAGCAGTAGTGAGTGCTGTGGTACTGTAGGTGTGTTTGCAGTTCTGTACGCGTCTGTGGCTGTCGCCATGTCGCTATGTATCAATAACGAACCGTTCACTTTTGCGGGAGCCCCTGGTAAATAGCTGATGCGCTGACGGCTCCTTTCGTTGAGTTTCCACATTCTGTCATCGGGGACAAGATGGTGTCCCGTCCTGCAACACGCTATTAGACACTTCCCAGAATAGTCAGTGCAGCAGCATGATGGAGGGTGTTTTCGTGGTCTGCAAAAGGTGGCGGCCCTGTCGGAATGGTGGGTGGAAAGACTGTCCCTATCTACGAAAATCGCACGGTACCGTCGATTTCCGTTCCAGCTGAAAAGGTCCTGATGCTAAGACAAATCCAGCAACACGCTTGGCAACGGCCTCCCCCCCTCCTTGCCTCACCACACGCTCGCGTACACACGTACCCCCCCCCCTCCCCGACCACCTCAGAAAATTCACATGCACACACATTCATGTGCGCACAAACATTGATCAGAAAGGGTTCATGTATTGATCCCGTTACAAGGCTGGGGTCTTTTCGTTGGTCAGCCGGTCAGCACGGTCGATGCTAGTAGCAAAAAACACACGCACGGCACGCGCGCTCACCGACGGGCTGGATCTCTCGCTGCTGCTTCGCTGTGTTTCGTGTTTTGAGCAGGGACGAGCGGACGATGAGGAACATGGACGGCGGCCGGAAGAACAGGATGATAACCGTCTTCTGGTAAGCTGTGTGCTCGTGCTGCTTGGCGGTGTCCCATGTATGGTGTTTACTGCTGCTATATTAGTGCTTCCGTTGGTGTCTGGCGTGGCTGGGCTTGTAGCGGTGCTGCTGCTGCTGCTGCTGCTGCTGCTGCTGTTTTTTTTTTTTTTTCGCTAGTTGAACTTTTGAAATCGTTTGCATCGCGAGAGGGCGAGGTCCCTATCATGCTCGTCTTCCACGCGAGAGTATTGTACTCCACGGCGAAATACCATCATTTTTGCTCATGAACGCCTTTGCGATGTTGTTTGGAAACGAGCTCGCTCAAATGCTTCCCCTTCTCTTATCTGCATCACACGATATGTGTTTCCCTCCATCGCCGCCACCACAGCGGCACCACCTCGTCACACCCGATCGCAAACACACCGATAGGCCCTGCAACTCCCCCCCTCCCCCCTCCCCTCTTCTCTTCCGTCCTGTGGGAGCAATGCTCCGTCCTCTCTAGGACATGCGGTCAATGGTCTTACCAACTAA